GAGAAGAGAAGAGAAGAGAAGAGAAGAGAAGAGAAGAGAAGAGAAGAGAAGAGAAGAGTAAATGCTGAACCTGCAAATTGAGAGTGTCTGGATTTTGAATATTTTCCTGACTCAAAAAAGACCCCTATACCAAAAAAAAGTCTTAATGTTCCAGGGAACGGGTATAAAGATGTCTAAATTCTTTACTTCTAAGCAGGAGCTAAACAAGGAAAAATAGATTTCTGCAATACTGGAAGTTGGATCTTTAAACTTTTTTAAAGAAAAAGGTCACCTGCTATATAGAAATGGGTGCTGGTGCACAGTGGTTTTAGAGAGAGATAATTCCAACAAAGATATCTTCCTTTCCTTTCAAAGAGACCTCCCTATAAAGAGGTGAATCCATAAAGTCCAGCTCTGTTGAATTTCTCTATCTTTCATTTTTATGCTTATTTCTCAATCAGTCTACAACTTTGCAAAACAGCTGACATATCTTTTATGTTTCTTACAATACCTGCATTTTATGTGCAGTTTCCCTAATATACTGCAGGAAAGGAAAGATAGGAAGTTGTTAATTTTTGGGAAGGTCAAATGAAAGTTTGCTTGTAGTTCTCAGTAGAAGAGGATTTGTTAATTCTATGCTAATGCTAATGTCCATTTAGAATCAGATGCATTTCTCCTTCTGGTGATAGCACATTGAATGTAGCATTTCATTGCAGCTTTAAGGAATAATAATTTCATTACTTTCTGCAGAAAAAGAAACAAATGAAATGAAAAGAGGTAAGTGCATTCTTAAAGTATACATTCTAGAACAATATTCAAAATTATCCTTGTTTTTAAAACTGTATATTCTTAGTATAGCGGTGCAGGTATCCAGTCAGCTTAACAATAGTACTCCAATTTAAATGCTTAAAGAAACAACAATAAAATGAATAGAGTCATGGAAAAATGTTATAGTTCAAGTAACAGAAAATATTTTATAGAATAAAAATAAATATATTATATTTTTAAACGTCTTGGGAAAAGCAAATCCCCCCTCTCTTCTCTCCCTGCCCTGCCCCCCAGGCACCGAAAGAAACATGAGAAGAGTTGCTAAGTGAAGTTCTTTAGGCAAAGAATGGGGCAGTTTGGGAGGCACAACTGGGAGTGCCTTTCTGGCAGCTCCCAGTTATGAGGAGGCTGATTTATTTACTAAATACACACTTAATAAACCCGTTGTTAATGAAAAATGAAAGGCCGCCTTGACAGGAATTAATTAGTTGGCAAACATTAAATTCTACTTTTATAATTAAACAAATTTTTCATAACGACAGTTAAAACCCAGTTTCCTTACTCTTAGTCATTGATGCTGAAGAAATATCCGAGAACCAAGAACTGTGCTATATAGGTAGAAACATGAAATTCTCATTTGTATCATTATAGGGATAGGATATAATTGCTAAGGCTGAAAAGAAGAAGGGGGGAAGCAGAGTCCTGCCGAAAGGGCACTTTCAGAGCCAAGTTCACATGGGCATCCAAATGGGGAGACACAGTGGAAGTCAATGAAAAGGAAGCTGGGGCAACCCCTCTTATAGGAAAACTAGAGCTGCTGTACCCACTCAGACCCATGCAAACTGATTGGCATTCCCTAGACAAGATTGTGGAAGCACAGTTGACTTCTATGTTACACACCTTTCTCGAGGCAAACAGCTTATTTAAATGGTTTAGAAGAGTTATCTGATTAGTTTAAATGCAAATATTGCTACCTATATATCAGATAATAAGTCTATTCTATGTACATACTTGTTTTAAATTAAAATGGTACATTTGGATAACAGATATTGGATGGATGGATGGATGGATGGATGGATGGATGGATGGATGGATGGTATAGAGTAGAAGATAGATAGATAGATAGACAGACAGACAGACAGACAGACAGACAGACAGACAGATAGATAGATAGATAGATAGAATTTAGTGATGTGATAAATGATAATGCTGATATAGCAGTTCCAGCAATTGACATGATATTAAAGCTGATGCACTGAAGACAAATCAACTAGAGGTGGGGGAGGGGGGGAATCTTGTATATCTCAGGACTGGGCAGAATATCTAGAGTGGAATTTAGGTTCAAAGACAGTGATGAAAAACAAAGGCACACATGAACTCAAGATTTCAACCAAAGCTTTGTGAAAAAGGAGATTTTTGACATTCCTTGGTGCCTAAGTGAATTCCCTGGTTAACCTGGATGTGCGAAGCCAACCAGATCTGGATAGTCTTCCTTGACAGGCTGCATATCAAGGATCATCACATGTGACAACGATCAGCAGCTCCTGATTGCAGCATCTTAAGGAGCTCTAGCACAGCAGGAAGTGAGCTCTGTTGATAAATAATACATGTTGTATATTTTGGCTTTAATGTTGAAGCGATTTAATCCAAGAGGTAAAATAGAAGGATGGATCCTTGGCTTACTTCAGGAAAGAGCAGTTTTTGATTCATCACGTGTACGTATAAATATAGCAAAGGCACAACTACAGGCAAGTTTTATTTTATGGATTTTATCTGATAACATTTCACTACTATTCTTTTCAGAACGAGATCATGAAAAAAATGCCATTGGTAAGACGGGAATGCTTCCTTCCTCTTATTTCCTTTATATATGTGGATAAGATTGCTTTCTGCAGTTGGAAGACTCTGACTATACTTTTTTTTAAATTTCTCCTGAAGAGAGTCACGAAACCTCAGTCCTACTTCATATTGCACTGGTACCATTTATAAAACATTCCAAGTATTTAGAAAAGGTGAAAAGTATTTACAGAGTTCTTTCTAAAATAACATATGGAATATAAATGAAAAGAAGAAAAAATGGAGAAACTAGCTGAATCTAGGCTTCAGAAAAGAAAGGGAAAGTGAAAATAAGTGAGGGAGAAATTCACATATTAAACTACTTTTTATGTGCATCATTAATGGAAATCTTTCAGCTGAAATCTACCAGCTTTCATGTGTTACCATGCAATGTTCATGTGAATTGACCACTTCCATTCATCCAACACAGTCCAAAAGTAATGAGGTTTCATTCACATACAATAAATTTGAAATATTTGTTGTTTCAAATTCTCCCATCTCTGAAAATGGATAAGATCACTGGCATTTATTGAGGGTTAACACAGCTTTACCTGTTAGCAAATTATGTGCTGACAAACACTCCATTCCAGAGAGTTTAGTTATATCTATAAAAGCAACAACTCTAATAAATGAAATATTTGTTGTAGAAACGGAGAGGATGCTGGATCAAATATGTGAGTATTCTTTTGAATAATGAGTAATCACAGAATGCCTGCTATATTCACGAGGTTTGAACTGATACCGCTTGCACACCTATGAGTCATGCTTCCTAGCATTACTAATCAGTTATCCTTTAAAATATTGGGAAAGGGGAAAAAGCAAAGTAAAAGTAAAGTAAAGTCCCCCAATTTTACTTCAAGAAGTGGGGCCAGACAAACCTTGGTTCAGGTAGCAGAAAGTGCTAAACGAATAGGGAAATAAATCCACCAATTTCCAGCTAAAAGCTGTAGTAAAACCTCCATTGTACAGACTCCCATTCAGTGGATTTCAGAAACAAATAAAATTGAATTTGTTAATTTTATGTAACATGCAAATTCTACATAATTTCTTCAGTTTTACTTAATTTTATGTACATTCTGTAAATCTACATAAATTGCATACATTTCCACAATATACATAAAAGGAAACAAATAAGCTGTTATGCTAGTTAAGACTTGGTTTCTTCTAGAGTATGTGAAAGTTCAGTGCACAAGCCTTCACACTCAGCCAAAAGAAGGGCAAATCAGCTCATATGTCCTTTTAAAGATATATACTGTGATCTATATTTGCCAAAATCCACCTGCCTCATTTTATCCATCTCTCACTATATTAGAATTCAAGACCATCTTTTGTAAAAAATTATGAGGCAATTAGAACCTATAAAAAGAAATATTTCTGCATGCAATTCACAGTAACTTGGTTTTTATGCTTCTGCTTCAGCCTCTCCCAACCTCACCCTACTTCCACAGTTTGTTCCACCATGTCCAGAAAGGATATCTATTCTTCACAAAAATCCTTCCCTTAAACTAATTGCCTGAAATGTGCCATGCATATTCTTTATGATAAGGGCTCTGGGGTTTTTTTTACAAGGTTCAGCAAATGTTGACTTAAAACACTTACTGGCAGTTACTTAAAAAACAAAAGGAGCATATCTTGTAAATTCCTATTCCTCTGAAGTTTCGCAACGTGTAGTTTATTTCATCAGAATGATTTAGCTTTCCTGAAAATGTAATTCTATTTTACTTAAAGCCAAAAATAATCAAAAGATAATAACCAAGTCTTAGGGGAATGCAGCACAAACCTTTGATTTTCACTGAATATCTCATTCTGGTCAAAAGCAACCTAACTATAAGTGTTTAATAGATGTTTGGAACTCGAGGTCATTCATAATCAAGGCCAGCACCAGGAGGGTTTCCCAAAGCAATCTGGTGGTAGTAAAAAGGTTTATGTTAGCTGAGAATTCAGCCCATCTGAAGATTCGTCAAGATGAAATCTAGCAAAATCTTGTGAAGTGGACAGATACTATTTCAAAATGGCTTGTATGCAGGGCCTGGGACACAATCTGATTGAATAGCACAACTAGCTACCCACTTATTGTAACATGATACTGGTATTACCAGACTTTCAAATTTCGGATCAAGCTTACTATTCAGGAAGCCAAAATAGGCTTCATCTAATCAATGTATTTGATACGTTAGAATAGCTTTAAGCCCTCCATGAAGTTTATTTACCAACCCATGCTCATGACTGTAAAGTAATGAAGTTGTGCTAAACTTTAACCTAGGAAAAGCCACTTCCCACTATGACCATCGCAATAAATTCTGGGAATTTTAAACCAGTGTATCTGGAGGGCATCAAGTAGCTTCCCCTTGTTATCTGTTTTTTTGAAACAGGAAATTGGTTATTTGTTTTTTGAAAGGGATAAAACCTTGGCTGAGGCACTTATTTCCTTTGTTAATTTATCTCAATGATTCATTATCCTAATTCAGACAATTGTTTTACAGCTATTTATGAAATCCAGAAGGAGTCAGGTAAGAGAAAACTCACTATATAATTATGAAGAAAGGGACCAAAGATTTAATTAGGGGATGAGAAGGAATGAGGGCATAATCATAACATCCTTTATGATAGTAATGTTTATGGATATTGAAGGAAATCCCTTTTGGCTGATTTATTTCAGATCTAATTAAAGTTACTTAAGTCAATTATATATAGCACCATAACTTTGTCCTGCACTCTTAAAAAAAACAGCATAACTAATTGCAATCCTTTTTTTATTGTAGAAAGAAAACCAGTTGAACTGGGTAAGCTAAACTACTTTTGATAAGTCCATTATGAGATCTTTATAGATTTCTACTGAGCAAGGATTCATTACACCTTAACAGGGTCACGTGAATTTTATTGAGCAGTATTTCTCAGAAAACAGTTCCCTGACAAACTTTCTGAGAACTTTACACAATCCCCTGGATTTAGGATAATGTTATCCTAACTCCCTGGAGCATAGTCATTAATGGAAAACCCTCCACTTTAAGGTAGTATGTTAGACTGTTCCAATGTCCTCTTGTGCTTCAAAACCCAATAGCTTGGGATGTTTTAAAGATAGAATATTTTGTGCCAGATGAAATGTAAAGACTTTGTTCAGACTCGCATGTTATGAAGGATTTAGCAATCATGGTCTCAGCAACAGTCTTTCAGATCAACCTTGCGTTTGGGAGAGATATCTCCGAGAGTCACTTGCAGCAGTGTCTACCGCAAAATAAACTGACACCAAAATGACGACACTTACATGATGATATCATTACGCAAATGCCATTAATATGAACTTATGTTTTGACATCTCATGCAAGTACGTAAACATCTGTGTGATGATATTGTCATGTATATCTCATTATTTCTCTCCCATTGCCTCCCACATGGACACCCAAGGACTTGAATTCATGTATCTTAAATAATAATGGAGACCTCCGTTTTAGCTATCTTCTCCAAGTTGGCATATCAGACATGGCATAAGTAATAGAACTAGAAGTAGAGTAGTTGTTTTGATTTTACAGTATATTTGACACTGTTATTGCATTTGTTTTGTTTTTAGATGTTTTATCCCGCCTTTATCCTTTTTTATAAGTAATTCAAGGCAGCAAACATACCTAATACTTCTTCCTCCTCTTATTTTCCCCACAACAACCCTGTGAGGGGAGTTTTCTCTGCCAGATACCTTACAATTCAATTAATTTGTTATCTACAATTTGGACAACATAGATTCAAAACGTCTAGTAGCTACAAGTCTTGATGCCTACAATCTCCTATTGTCTCACATAACTTTAACTACAGAATAAGAGGGAGGAATCCCCACGTTCTTCTCAACCATAACAATAATGAATAAATGAGGTTGCAACAAAATAACCTTCAGACATAGCAGAAAATGCAACTCAGGAATGAATAGCTATAATATACTGATACTTAGCATTGCCTCTCCACTCAGGTGGATATTCTTTATATATCTTAAAATACATACATCTTTTATATATTTTATATAAACATATAAGTTTAACACAGCAACTTTGTAAGCTACATAACACCCTTACTTTTTTCAAACCAGAGTTTTGTATGTATCAATGAAAAAGACCATATTTTGTTCTGTTGTTAGAGCAGCCTTCCCCCAACATAGTCCTCCCATCATCCCAAAACAGCCTGCCACGAAAGCTGTATATGGAATGATGGAAGCAACCTAGAGGTGAGGCAAGGCTTGCATCCGTAGGTTCAAACTGAAGTGTAACTTCATCAGAAACTGATTTTGTACCCATCCTTCTCTCTCTCTTTAACTGTGTTTGCATGATGTTGTTATGTGTAATTAATCTAACCTTGCTTTAGTCTGAGGAGAGTCTGTATTAATCTTCACCAAATTTGGAATGTCCCTGAAGATGACCCAACACATCAGGTGTATCACATTTCATAAACTTGAAATACATATTATTATTTTACAAGGAATGAAGTGTTCAGAAAATGAATGCCAAAATGTAAAAACTCAGTTTTGAACGAAAACACAGAGTCCTCCTGGAAGATCTCTAATCAGGTCAAATTGTCCCACAGATGCTATCAGGATGAAGTTTAAGCATTGTTTAATAATATTTTAATATTGTTATAGAGCACAATAAGCCTGGTCTTTATTTTTTCAAGTCAACTTCCTTTCTGTAAGTTCTTGAATTTCAAAGCTAAAATTTCTCAAAATAAATCTGAATATTGTTTATCTATTTTACTATGACCAGGCACTGATTTATTTTATTTTATTTTTATAGAACTTAGAAGAGCACAGAGTCATGCAGGTAAGAGGCTCCCATGGTCAGGTCTATTGTTCACATGCATGAATGTTGACTTACTGAAACTTCTGACTCTGTAACTTATTCTGTTTGAACATATAAAATAAACTTCTGCCCAGGAGAGATAGAAAAATGAATGCTGGTTGATTGTGTCCAAACTTCCTTCCTGTGGAAATACCAGTGCAGGAACATCTTGATTCAGTTAATGGCATTATAATCTTATTAGTAGGAGCACCCTTCAAATAAAAGATAATATAGCTAAAATTCTTTGTTTATTTCATTAAACCTTAACTGTTGTTTTGGGACACCTGGAAAAAACACTGTTGCTTTAGCTCCAGTTTTTATACTTTTGACTATGAGCAATAAAATATGTAACTAGTTCATACCAGGGATGCAATCAAGCCATTTATAAAACTAAACATTTATGGTGAAGCCAACTAATATATCTACTTCTTGGAAAGCAATTTTTGTCTCTCATTGTTTTTTTCCTTCTTACTCACAGTTGCAGTTTATTTGGAATCAGACTGCAAGCATCCAGACATCACCATCAGCGAAGATGGCAGAACAGCCACCCTTAATGCAAAATCCGCTGTGGGTTCTCTAGTGGTTGTGGGGAAAGAGGGTTATGTTGCTGGGAAGCATTACTGGGAAATAAAGGTCGGGAAGCGGCTGGACTGGGAGCTGGGGGTGCTGTCTCAAGCTGAAAGGGACAGAACCAGAAAGGGGAAGTTTTCTGTGCCCCTCGGAGAAGAACGCTGGGCACTGAAAAGTGTCAGAGGACATTTGTTTTCTAGTCAAAATGAGGAAAAGATTAAACAAATGCAATTTGGGTATTATTCAAATATCGGCTTGTTTCTGGATCAAGAATCGGGAAAAATATACTTCTATAGGGCCTGTATGTGGGCACCACTCCTTATAACCATCATTGACATTCCGTCAACTGAGAAATTGCACCCATTTTTAAGTTTTGGCGAGGGTGCCCTAGATTGCACTCAAGATATATTAGAAATCATCCATATCAAAATTCCACTTCCTTTTCAAAAACTTTGAAAGTAGTGGGAAGAGCTTCATCAAATTTTTCTGAGAAATAGCTAACCACCACAAAGAAAGTAAACCATTAGTGTCAAACACTCCAGAAAGATCCATCCAAGTGGATCTTTTGTATTAGTTTACAGTTCAGAAATTGGCCGGCTGTGTGAAAACAAATGGAACATTTCAGGATAGGCACAGCATTTTCTTGGGGCTTCAGGCCCTCAGCCAGCCAAGCTGCCTTGCAGTCCTGTCCATGATATACAGATCAGTCCTGGGGGCAAAAGGAAGCATTTGTGTTATTCCTGTCTTTTTCCAATTAAGCTTTGCATTGCATAACTTTGACATTATCAACTTCATTTTTTATATTGTATGTTACATGAAATAAAGTAAAAATAATAAGCAATACACTATTGCTAGTATTTATTTAATCTCCTGCAACTTCAGGCACCCAGCCTGAAGCTAATTCAGGTAGCAGTTGTATACCAGAAACATAGAAATATTGCTTTTCAGGTGTTCAGGAAAATAACTGCACAGACAATGATAGGGATAGGCAATCTGTAGCATAACCCCTGCCTTTCTGCCCTTTCCGCATTAATGGAGGAGATCTGTGGTTGGGTGTAATGGCATTTGACTAAATGCAATTGTGCTTCCCCATACAAGTACAGATTCTGCAAAATAATAGAAATGTAGAAAATCAGGACACTTGGAAAAATTGGAGGAAAGGCTATGTTTTCTTACAATTTCTCTTAAGGTAGAAATGTTATGGAAAAATGAAAAGTATACAATACTTTTAACATCATTTTCAACTGGTATTTGATAACTTATCTCAAAGTGTATCAGCTCATTCTCAGACCAGGTTTTTCTACCAGCCTGCCTTTCTCCCTTCACTTTGATAAGTCTACTTTTATGTATAGTTTTGCTTCCATGAAAAATGTTAAAACCAAAGTCTTTCTCACTTTCTGGATAGTCCCTGGAGATTACCAATGAATTGTCACTGTTTTAAGATCATTATTAAGAGGGAATGCAGTTGGCATATCAGCCAAAGCTGATTAAAAAATTTCTGGCTACAGCTCCACTGGAGAGATTTGAGCATCTGAACAATGAAGATATCTGCTAATCAGAGGGGAGATAAATGTGGTTCAAATGTTTCTATAAAGAAGCAAAGAAGAAGTACACGTTGAATACACGGGGAGGGGGTGTCCAGTGTGGCACAAGCTCAGAAAGGCCGGGGAATGAGGTCATGGGGTGTATGCAATCGCAGCGAGGTAAGAGGGAGTGGGGTGCATGCATGCATGTGTATGAATGCAGGGAGGACATGGGGAAAAGGGATGGGGTGCGTGCAAGCAAAAGGGGGAGGGAAGGTATAATGCATGCGAGTGAAGAAAGGCTGAGGGAGCGGCCTTACCCCAGTGATTTGTGACCTTCCTTGCTGGCTTCCAATTGACTTTGCTTGGGGGAAGCTGGCAGGGAAGGTTGCAAATGGTGATCATGTGACTGCAGGACACTGCAACTAGTCATAATTGTGAGCTGGTTGCCAGGCACCTAAATTTTCTATACATAACCATTTCTGCCCTTGTTCTGATGCAAGAGATATAGGCCCACACCTTGGATATAGGCCCAGACCTTGCCATACTGCAGTTTCTGTAGGGATTTATGAGCCACCACGATCATGCCTCTTCTGAAAGACTTACTAGGCAGAGAATATGAGGTACAGATCTCATTCCTCCTGGCAGACTATTGAACTAATGTTACACATTCAATGGCCACTTTTTTGCTTAGCAGCCATGAGGGAGAGGGATAGAAGAGAGGAGGCACTGGTGACACTAAAACATTAGTGAAATCAATGAGTCGTAATTAATATAAGTTCCACGGATTCCAAAACATTTAAAGGCAACTAATTCTACCCTTTTTAAGACATTGATAAATAAATGAACTAATATATTTTATTTGGTTCACTTTGCATCCATTAAGGAACCAATCCTGAATTATGATATAATGTAGCTAAGAAGCACTTCCCATTCGCACAATGTATGATGTGACAGTTCTTTGCAAGTATTTCATCAGCCATAATCATAGTGATTTGCTTGGCTGTCAAGCTTTATTGTCTACTAATAGCATAGACCATGGAGAGTTCATCCACCACTAGTTAAAAATCTCATAAATATGTTTTTTTTCCACACAATCTACTCTAATCCAATCTAGCAGTACTTTGAGAGATAATTATGAACCTTATAATTACCTCAGATGACTGTCATAAAGCACTTTCCTTTCCATGACAGGCATATATTTTTAATAGTCATCTGTTTCAAAGCAATACAAACCTGAACTTGTATATAAAACCACTGTAGTTAGTGAACTTACTGGTATAAGTATAGGATCTATGAACCAATGGAAATCCATTCCCATTAAAGTTCTTGTTATAGGGGTTACACACCAAAAATCCACTTGGAAGGAAAATAAGAAATCACTGAGAGCTGTGTGAGATCGAACCAGAGGCTTCACATCAAGAAACATCAACTCAGATATGAATCATGAATTCTCTGTTATAGAATCACATATTCAGTGTTTCCTTCAGATGTTTTCTTTCTTCCTGAAGCTTCAACTGATGCTGCTGATTCTTCCTGAGTCCCAATCTTATAGTCCTATGTGCCACATGAATTATCTGCATTCTCCCCTGCATGACTACTATCAGCCAGGGGACTTTGTCATTGGTGGAATTGTTTCTCAGCTTTTTGGCATTGCTGACCTATTAGCTTATGTGGAAAACCCTAGAAGAAAACCTCTTGATGAGCCCATGTATGGACATATTTTGCCATGCTGCACTCAGAATTATCTCACTAGAAATGAACTATGCTCTTAAACAGATCTGAAAGATTATATGAGCAAAAAAGAAATCTCTTTGCATTTAAGTATTGTAAGGTTATTCAGGAGTCACAGGTTTTTTTCATTGATCTTCCTTTAAAATAACTTCCTTTAAAATAACTTTGTCATTTACAGATGATGTTCTAAACTTTTTGCACTCGAATATTGGTGTTTCTATTTTTTGTTTATTCATTAGTTATTAGTCTTCCCATATTATATTTCAAATGATATTTGCCATATCATCTTGTATCCTGAAAGATAGTCAACCACTTCAAAATGTCTAATCAGGAATTTTCAAATTTAATAAGTTTATTAGATAGATGCACTAGAGATTAAGTAGCATATATGCTCAATGTTATTACTTAAGATAAGCCTAGTTTAAAGTATAAAAATTATGTATACATAGATGCAAAAGATGTACATAGCTCTGATTTTTTCACACATTCTGAGGCAGTTTATTAAAGAGTAACAAGACTAGATACAACTTATAAACAGTATAGCTGATATTTCATGTTCTTTGACATAATCTTTTCATCTTTTCATTTTGTCTTTGCTGTGAAGAACAAAATCATCCTCTGTTTCATCAGTAATAAGTAAGCATGCATACGTATATCCATATTTATATACTTTCACTTCAGAATTAGGCACCTTTGTTTAAGTATTGGATCCTAGCTCATTTTCTCCACTAGACATATATTAGCTTATAATGATATTAAACTTCTCCTTTGACCCTAAACGTACATATGTAACTTCCAAAAGGCAGGTTTATATTCTGAGGCAATTGCTTATTTAAGAGAATGAAGAATTGAATGAACTGATAAAGTGTTTAACTGTCTTTTCAGTGTAATGCCGAAGAACTACCAGCATGTCCTGTCTTTGGTATTTGCTGTGAAGGAGATCAACAAGAACCCAAAGCTCTTACCCAATACCTCCTTGGGATTCCACATCTTTGATAGTTACTTTGACGCTAGGAAGACTTATCAGAACACCTTGGATCTTCTGTCTAGTTGGCAGAAGCCTATCTTCAACTACTACTGTGGCTTTCAGAAGAACCTGGTTGCTGTCATTGGGGGACTTGATTCTGAAACTACTATCTACATAAACAATCTATTAAGCACCTATAAGATTTCACAGGTAAGGAACTGATTATTAGGCTGCAGAATTTAGAATATATTTAGTGATATCATAAATTAATTCCCACTGTTGCAGAAGGTAGAAGGGAGACATCTGAGTGAGTGGTGGGTTTGTTACAGACAGGTTTTGCTTCCTTTGAAATGAAAACACTGATAATATAGGAATTCAAATGATTGTATCTGAATGGTTGGTAGTGTCACCTGATACCCTGGTGTTCCTAGACATAAACCTCAGAATAGCTGTGACCCTAATGCAGCATCAAACAGGCTTAATTCAGGCCTGAGTCAGAAAGAGTCAATAAATATTGGAATGAAATAGAAATTACACAGGCAGACCACACCCAAATCTTCATGCTTCTGTATGCTTGCTAATGATGTCATTTATAACATTATAATTATTTCAAAGATACCCAGAATCTCTACATGCAATTTCTTGGTTCAGACGGAAAGCCAAATGCTCCTATACATTTATGAATGACTCAAAAATTCCTTTCAAACTAACCCAGGATTCTATCTTTATTTGATGCTTCTCTGTCCAGGAATAAAACATTTGAAATATTTTTATAGCCTCTGACTCCTTTGGATTCTGTTCTTTCTTGCCAAAGTTTATTCTCCTAGTACTTCTCCTTCTTGCATTTCCTCTGAGTTTGGTTCCAGCTGAGAAAAGAAGAGATGAGGGATGATGATGATGATGATGATGATGATGATGATGATGATGATTTTATTTATTTATTTATTTATTTATTTATTTATTT